CCCCAAAACCCCAAAACCCCAAAACCCCAAAACCCCAAAACCCCTTTATAGATATTTAAATTGGGTTAGGACTAACTAACGATTATGGATTCCATGTTATACATAACTTGTTGTATTCCCCAGCATGTTTATAAGCAAATGGCTCAGATCATTTTGAGGTGTTGAGAGTATGCAAAGTTGAGACATGCTGTCTGGCATAAGGGTGAGTATATCCATCTCTGACTGGGCTTTCTTCCAGTAGTAAAGGCCTAGCTTTGCATCATAATTAGTCCGAGAGTAATCATGTCTACTACCTAAGTGCAACTCTTATCAATTTCGCTTCTCATTACGAATTTGTCTCTATAAACCACAGGCAATACTTATATTATGGGACAACCTATCAATAGTGTCAAGAATTCATAGTGAAACTATAAACCACAATAATGGTAGGATTAACTGATTTCCGAAAATTCGGAATTGGTGTTAGAAGGATTCCATGCCGACAATATCTAATGGCATCCTATTTCAGATATTATTAAAACCTTACAATTAATTATTAAGACAGATAATTCAGATTATATATCATTTTTGGCAGCTCCACCAATGACAAAAACTTCATGCAAAAATGTTCCGGGTGAATAGGAATATTGATTTTGCCTGAATGAGTAAATTCGTAAAATTCAGAAAGCACTAAATTATTAAGCTCGAAGATGAATATTGACAGCTCAGAAATGAGGCATACTAAATTATGATTTACAAATATTAAAACCTTCTTCTTAACTTTCACTCCCTTTGATTCCTCAATTTGAGACTAGTCAACGGCAAGCAAGGGTTTATAATGTCATCCCAGAAGTTGCCAAGAAATTTTCTAAAATGTCTGGTGAGCCCTAGCACTGGCCTAAATCCCATAAAATATTACCAATGTCCATCTAAATCCAACTTTTCATGATGCCTTGACGCTTTCACAATTCTGAAATTTCATGAACTTTCTGAGTTGAAGTGCGAGAAAGTATAAATATGCAAATTTTTTAGATAAATTAATAAAAATAAATATGAAATCTTACCTCTTAATTGCCCTTGTCATGCTTCTTGTGGCTACAGCCTTTGCTGGCGATGCCAAGACAGTCAGAGAACTCCTTGCTACTGAAGAGACAGAGGAAATTAGTTTTGAAGAGAGAGCACACATCTTTGAGAAGCCAAAGGTTAGAGCTAAGTGCATGAGAGAGCACATCTTCAAGTGCGGCTACATTGCTGGAAGCGGAGATGAATCCCTTTGTGAAGACAAAAAATTGTGCAAATGCTGTGCAGCAGCTGAAATGGGCTGCAGTCAGAAATGCAAGAACTAATCTTCCTACTAAATAACCTTTTCTAAAGTGCTGACACTTGAAAATACTGATATGAATACTCTCATATTTACTTCCATGTTTGCAACAGCTTCATAAATTAGAAGAGGCAAATTGATAATATTTGAGCTCAATGTTGGTTCACCAGTTAATGCTTATTGGGGTTTTGGGGTTTTGGGGTTTTGGGG